TAAAACAAAGGTATTTGTATAAATTTGTATCAGTCACAACTGATGTTATTTTTGCTGTTCTAATAGTAGTTAGAGCAGATATACATTACGATGAAAAAGAATAAACTAGTTTTTTTTCTTATAGTTTATAAAAGTGCAAACGTTTATGTATTTTTATATGGATATTCTTGAGATTGTAGCGGGATATTTTTCAGTGGAGATTTAAATGGAGATTTCGGTAACTCGATCGGTTCGATACGATTCTTTTTCTTATTCTGCAACAGGATTGACTGAGGATATGGTTGTGGTGCTACGTTCTCGGGTGTTGTATCAGTGGAAGATGCTTGTGTTCTAGATATTTGAGCAGCTTTACCACTACGTGGTGGTGGTGGTGGCGTTAAAAATCCCATATTTATGTATCCTGAAGCAGTTGCTGTAGTAACAGGAAAACGTGGTGGTAGAGTACGTGGTGGCGGTGATATTACAATATCATCAACAGCGGGTGAAAGATCCATACTGTTTTCGTCTAGGTCTGTGTCAGCATCAGATTCAGTTTCTGTATTGGCAGCACTCTCTTGACTTCCAAAGGATAATTGATATTTTTGGAGGGAAACATTGTATTTTGCTAAGTCATTGCTAAAATTAGCAACTGTTTTTGAATCCCAATTCGGATCAACTCGAATTTTTGTAAAGTATGTTGTTGCTTTATGAGCACCATTTAGTTTTTCTTTGGATAATTTGCCTATAAAAACCAGTAAATAAAGCAATATTTTTCTCGAGCGAATTAGTATGTTAGTTTAGTATGCAACTATTTCTTACAAAATATCTGCTAGTCTTCGTCCTTTGTATCTACTAGTTTATCTGCATGATTTTTAAAATTTCAATTCATTTCTTTTTATCTGTTTTAGATGAAATCAAATGCTGTTTATCTACATGATGATTATCTTTGACATAAAATTAGTAGTTGGATTATTCCTATGCGTCATCTTTTATCCTACGTATGAAATACATTAACTTACCGAGTCCTTCACTCTCCAGTTTCTGTACAGCCGTGCGCAAAGATTGCGATTTGAAACCTCCGTGATTGGTAATTATGTTGGTCCATGGTATTTTTGATCCTTTCGCAAGTAAAATAACCTTTTCAGGATATCGTTGCTCATTTCCATCACTTTTATTTGTTGCCAATTTTGATGCCTTTGAACGACGAGACTCCGCTAGAATTTCTTGATTTTTCTCGTGTTCTTCTTGTTCTTCTATTTTTTTCTGCAGTCTCTCTTTCATTTCGTCCAAGGTTTCATTAACTGGACCTTAAAAAACAGTAATTACGTAGGTTCTTTATCTATAGGGCAACTTTTTGAACAATTTTTACTGTGCAAATTCCGTTAATAATCATCGGTGAGTAATGAGGGTTTTATACAATGATATTAATGTAAATACTTCATGATAGATCATTCTGTTTATTGATAAAAGTAGTACTATTTTTCTTTTTCTATTTTAATTAAGAGAATAAATTTATACACACGAATATATGTATATATTTTTAAGGTAACTAAGATAAGTCAAATTCGATTTATACATGAGTTCGCCTATATGATGAAAGTTGAAAAGAAACTGATGTTAAGATGATTAATCAAATACATCAAAGGGCCATTTACAAAAAAAAGAAGAAAGAA